AGGGCAGCCAGGAGCAGAGCGCGTTACCCAGCAGACAGAACGAGAGACAGGGAAGGGCAGTGTCTTTTGCGAAGGAGGTACCTGGGGTGGAAAGAATTCTTGGCTTCCTGCTGGAGCTAACAGGCTTCTCCAGGACTTGGGGAGCAGGTGAGAGGACAGGAGACCCCACTCTCCTGTGAGAGGGTGAAGCCTAGACGCGGCTGTTCTGGGGAGCAGGGGTGAGGAGGCCTGAAGGGTCAGAGGAGCCCAGGCTGGGAGAGCCTTCCCATATCCCACCAGGAAGTCCGGGCTCTGGGGCCTATTTGTCACTATAGACCACCCACTCCAGGTCCTGGCTGCAGCCCCGCCCTGGTCACAGCCTGGCCACCGCTCCTGGACCACCTGCTGCCCGGTGGCTGGGCTGGCAGCAGGCCTCAGCGGCGGGAGCCAGACTGTGACACTGCGGGCCAGCCGGCCTCGTCCTGTGCAAAAGAGGGGTGTGGTCAGCAGCACCCCAGGAGAGGGACCGCAAGTCCAATCCCAGCGCTGAGACCAAAACCCCATCCCTGAGGTCAGGTCTGTGTCAGCAGAGGTGGCGACACTAGGAGAGAGCCTTTGTCAGGCCCTGCAGGGCTTGTGCAGGCCTGGGGAGACAGGGCCACTCAAGGGGAGGGCCTCTGACACGTTTAGGGAAACCTTTGTCACCTGGCTCTCAGGAGAGCGAGGAGGCCACAGCCCTGGGAAAGGGGTGTCACCTGGTCACTGAGATTCCGGGTTCACCACTACCCACCGGAGACAGCGGAGCTGTCGCTTCCCCCACCCCGCCCTGTTCATGAGAGGGAGGACTTCTCACCGTCTCCCTGGCCTCTGCGCACATCTGTGGCCACAGGACCCCCCCCAATATGTTTGTTGAGTTGAATCTGCTGTGTGATTCTCTGCCTAGAACCTCCCTTCAGACCATGTTCCCTGGTGAATTTGGTGAATTGATGTTTAGCATTTTTGTTTATTTGTTTGTTCTTTAACAAAAGGTTGTTTTGGTTTGAGATTCAGCAAAAACATAGCTGCATTCAGCTTCCTCCCCATTCAGGAGTCAGTAAATGAGTTGTTTTCCAGTCTGCCGCGAGTCCTTGCCTCAAATGAGCCTCCAACAAGATAATGCATTTAAAAGCCCTTGGAAAAGTACCAGGCCCCACGCACATTGAGATGCTGTCCTCATGGGAGCGGTGGCTCAGCCCTGCACCCTGAGCCAGGCTCAGCTCGCGGAGAATGCTGCCCAGGTGGGGGTCCTTGCACACGTGGCTAGGACGGGGGAGAGAGGCTGCCTTCATCCTCCTGCTGCCAGTTAGGTCCCTAAAGCCAGGCCCGCTGGCCCAGGGAGCGCTGTGTCTTCCCGGCAGCATGTGGGGGCCAAGGCCAGCCGTGTGAGGGCAGGAGTCTCCAGAAGGCCTGCACTCCCTCCAGGGGCAGAACTGGTCCGCAGGGACTTCCAGCTGGTGCGCTGGTTTCACTTCAGTCTCCACTGTGATCCTGAAAGCTTTGGGGATCAGTCCAGGGCGCATCCTTCAGTCAAGAAACAAAATGAAAAAACAAAACCCCCAAATCGGAAACCTCAGAGACCTGGTTTACCTTCACCGTTAGCAGTTAGGACACAGGTGGCCTCTGGCCGAAACTAAAACGCCCCGTGCTGCTAGGACCCCTTCCCCCACCTCCAAATCCATTTAGGAAGTTTCCACAAACTCCGTAACTACAGACCTCTTGGTAATGCCCGGGACTTCTTTTTTCCACCCACGGGTTGGGTGGCTTTCTGTGGCTAGTTTGCAAATTTGGGGGGAAGAGGGGGACCTGTGTTCTCTCTGCTTGATTTCTGCTTCTGTCCTAAGACCTCTGGCCTTTGGAGCTCCTCCCTACAGAGGAGGGAGAAGAATCAATAGATGCACCAAGCCTGGTGGCAGACAGACGCAGCGGCTCATCGCTGGCTGAGCTCCCCAGGGAGCCCTGAGGCCCTGGCTTGGCCCCAGCGTCCTCACCTATGAAATGGATGGGCCCTAGATCCCTCTGGTTTCCTGTGACCCGAGAGCAGGATGCTGAGTCTGCTGCTGAAAGGTTTGGCTCAGCAAACAGGACTTGGTGGAGGCCGGCTCCCGGCCCTGCCCTGCGCACCAGGGGCATCCACTGACTCCTGAGCCTCAGTTTCTTTGTCCCGCAAACACAGAGAGAAGGGGTGGAGCCTGATGGCGACCTGCAGCCAGGCGCAGTTGCAGCCCGGTGCTCCACAATGAAGGCACGTTGGCGTCTGGACAGTAGGCGCTGAGCATGCGGCAGAGGGACCGGCGCAAGTGGACCAGGACGACATTCACACCTGCACTGGCTTCTGAGGGCCCTGCAGGACCCTGCCATGCTGCCCTCAGCTGTGAAGGGCTTTTTTTTTTTTTTTGGAGATTTTTCAGACCCTAAACGAATGCGCCCCGTGAGTCGGAAGGGCTTGGCAGCACAGCCCCGCCAGCCGGCTGGGGCCCAGGAAGGCACCGTTTCCTCCTGTGGCTGGAGAACAATGAAGTCCCATTTCCTCCACCGCTCAGGTAAGAAAATGTGCTATAAATACACAGCCCACAAGTCGCAGTTATAGGTGAGGGGCTCCCCCTCGGCAGGAGAGAGGGCCAGCGGAGGCAGGCTGATCTCCAGGAAGTGGCATCTGAGCTGAGTGCACGGATGAGTGGATATTAAATGGTGCAGAAGATGGAAAAAATCATTTCAGGCAGTGGAATTGCATGTGCAAAGGCCCTAGGGTGGGACAGGTGGTGCCCAGCTAGCAGAGCAGAAAGGAAAGGAGAAAAGGATGGAGATGGGGCGGTGAGGGGGTGCACGTGGTGAGCAGGGCCCAAGCATGCGCAGCCTTGCAGGCTATGCGAGGAGTTGAGTTTTATCTGAGAGCAATGGAAGCCAGTGAGTTTTGAGCAGATGAGAAACAGATTGAAGTGTACACCCACTGTCATCACTGTCAATGCCATAACATTTTTCATCTCTAAAAGTTTCCTCCTTCCCCTTTTGTTTTTCTGTTTTTCTCTTTTTGTGGTAAGGGCACTTAACCTATGATCTATCCTCTTAGCAATTTTTTTGAAAATACACAATTCAGTGTTATTAACACTTGGAGTGCGGGAAACGAGTTAAGTCGGCTCGCGTGAATTGCGCGTACTCCGCGGGAGCCGTCTTTAACTCGGTTCATATAGATTTGCGGTGGAGTGCGGGAAACGTGTAAACTCGGGCCGATTGTAACTGCGTATTACCAAATATTTGTTTGTAATCCACCCTTTTGGTGGATGGAACAAAACCAAAAGACAGAGCCATCTTATATTTTGGCGGGAAATTCACCCCACACCGGAGTGTTAATTATAGGCCCTATGTTTTACAGTATATCTCTACAACCTATTTATTTTAATGGCCTAAATATTTGTAGTTTCCACCAGAGTCCAAAACAATTTTATGAAAGAATTATGGCTAAGCCTTCCCAAATATATTGGAAGACTTAAATTTACAGGTTCAAAAGATGTAGAGAACTCCAAACAGGGTAAATTCAAAGAAAACCACACCCAGATGCAACAGAATCAAATTACTGAAAGCCAAAGATAAAGGAAAATATTGAAAGCAGCCAGAGGAAAATTATGCCTTACTTGAAGGGGAAAATGACTGAAGATTTTTCATCAGAAACAATGATGGCCAAAAAAAAGGGAAACAAAACAATGTCTTTAAAAATATGCAATGAACTGTCAACTCAGAATTCTAAATACAGCAACAATATTTTTTAATGAATGAAGGCAAAATAAAGACATACTCAGAAGAAGAAAAAAAATTACAAGTCCACCAGCAGAACTGCTCTAAAAGAAATAAATAGAAAAGAATGTTCTCCAGACAAAAGGGAAATGATACCAGAATAAAACTCGAAACATCAAGAATGAAGGAAAAACAACAGAAAAGGTAAATATCTGGGCAAAAATAATGGAATATTTTTAAAAATATATTTTTATTGATTTCAGAGAGATAGTGAGAGGGAGAGAGAGATAGAAACATCAATGAAGAGAGAATAATTAACTGGCTGCCTCCTGCACCCCCCCCCCGCCCCCCATACACACACACACATACACCAGGGATTGAGCCCACAACCCGGGCATGTGCCCTGACGGAATTGAACCGTGACCTCCTGTTTCATAGGTCGATGCTCCACCACTGAGCCATGCCGACCAGGCAATGGAATATTTTTTAAAGTACTTTAAAACATGTATAACTTTAAAAAGCAAACATGAAAACATTATCTGAGAGATTTAGGCTATATAGATGTAATACATATGACAACTATAACAGAAGGGAACATAGAGAAGGTAAAGATGATTATAAGGCTTCTATATTTTACATTCAGTGGGAAGATGTTAATTCTAAAATAGATTGTGAAAAGTTTGGTTTATATATCCCTAAAGCAACAACTAAAAAGTAACACAAAGAGACACAGCTAAAAAACCAATAGACAAAATTGATTGAATACTTTAAAAAAGAGTTCAAACAAATTCAAAGGCAGAAAAAGGAAAAGAGAAAAAAATGAGAGTGATAGAAATGTAACAAAATGGTAAGCCTAAATTCAGCTCTAGCAATAATTACATTAAATCTGAATGGTCTAAATACAGCAATTAAAAACATATTACCATATTGGATTGAGAAAAAAAAGAGGACCCAATTAGATGCTGTCTACAAGAAATGTACCCTACATAAAAATCTATAGGGACTAGTGAACTGGCCAACAGGTCAAATCCAGTCCATCTCCTGTTTTTTTGTTTTATTTTGTTTGTTTTTTATATATTTTTATTGATTTTTTACAGAAAGGAAGGGAAAGGGATAGAGAGTTAGAAACATCGATGAGAGAGAAGCATCGATCAGCTGCCTCCTGCACACCCCCCACTGGGGATGTGCCTGCAACCAAGGTACATGCCCTTGACCGGAATTGAACCTGGAACCCTTCAATCCGCAGGCCGACACTCTATCCACTGAGCCAAATCAGTTAGGACCCATCTCCTGTTTTAAAGAAATTTAAAAAAATATTTTGTGAGGGTTATGAAGAAAAGAAGAAGGAAGAGGAGATCATATGTGGCCACAAAGACTAAAAGATTTTCTTACTGGCCCTTTATAGGAAAAGTTTGCTGGCTCCTCATATTGATGGATTAAAATTAAAGGGATGGAAAAATACATATCAACCTAACACTAATCAAAATAAAGCAGAAGTGGCTATATTAATAGCAGACAAAGAATACTTCAGAACAAAGAAAATGACCAGGTATAAATAGGGACGTTACATAATGGAACAAGGATCAATTCACCAAGAAGACAGAACAATCCTAAATAGGGATGCCCCCAATGACAGAGTTCTAAACAGCACAAGACAAAAACTGACTGAACTAAAAGAAATAGAGAAACCCACAATTCTATTTGGGGACATCATCACTTCTTTCTCAATAATCAACAGAATAATAAGTAGAATGAAAATCAGCATGGATCTGGAAGACCTGAACAATACTATCAACTTGACCTAGTTGACATTTATAGGCCACTCTAGCCAACAGTAACAAAATACTTATTATTTTCAAGTGCAAGTGGAACATTCACCAAAATAAATCATATTCTGTGACATTAAAAATTAAAACCTTACAGGAGTTAAAATTATACAGTGGATATTCTCTGACCATAATGGTCTTAAAATAGAAATCAATAACAAAGATAGCTGAAAACTCCACAGATATTTGGAAATTAACATACCTCTAACATGTAAAACCAAAGAGAAAGTATCAAGTAAATAATCTAAGATTCCACTTTAGAAACTAGAAAAAGAGCAAATTAAACTCAAAGAAAGCAGAAGAAAAGAAATAAGATAAGAAATTAGTATAATTGAAAACAAATAGAAAATAAACCAAAAATTAGTTATTTGAAAAAATCAATATATGTGACAGCTCTTTAGGCAGACTGACCAAAATAGAAAGCGAAGACATAGGTTATAATGTCAGAAATGAAAAATGGGATGTCATTACAGATAATATAGATATTAAAAGGAAAATAAGGCAATGTCTCTATGCCATAAACTCAACAATTTAGATAAAGACTACTGATTAATTGAAAGACACAAAACACCAAAACTCAAGAAGAAAGTGATATACTATAGAAATTGAACTCTTAAAAAAAATCTTCCAACAAAGAAAACTCCAGGCCCAGATTATTTCAAAGGCAAATTATACCCAAGCTCTTCCAGAAATAGAAAAGATGAGAACACTTTACAACTCATTTTTATGAGGCCAACATTACCCAGATATCAAAACCAAAGCCATTAGAAGAAAAGAAAACTAACAACCAATATACCTCATCAGTATATACATAAAAATCCTCAATCAAATATTAGTAAATCGAATCCAATAATATATAAAAAGGTAAGACATCTTTACCAAATGGGTTTGAACATTACAAAGTAAATCAATATAATTCATCATATTGACAGACTAAGACTAAAGAAGATGGATCATATTTCAATAGATGAGGGAAAAGTATTTGACAGATTCAACATGTATATATGATAAAAATTCTCAGCAAACTGCAAACAGAGGGTGCTTTCTTAATCTGGTTAAGGGCATCTATAAAAAAAAAAACTACAGCTAACATCGTACTTAATGGTGAAAGGCTGAAAGTTTTCCCCTAAGATCAGTAAGAAATAGCATTGGCAAGGAGGAGGGAAAATGATATTTATTCACAGATGACATGATTGTCTACATATAAAATTCTAAGATCTGAAATCTACAAAAAGTCCCTAGAATATGAAATTATTTTAAGGAAGGTAAAGGATACAAGGCCAATACTGTATTTCTGTATATTAGCAATGAATATTTGATATGTAAATTTAAAAAAAATCAGTTAGACATCTATGTTCATAGATGGTAGCATTATTCACAATAGTCAAAAGTAAAAGCTACTCAAGTGTCTATCAACAGATGAATGGATAAATAAAATTGTATTCCGTGGTAAAAGACTTTAAGATTTTCCTGAAGATGAAGAACAAGGCAAGGATGTCAATTTTGCCATTTCTATTCAACATAGTACTAGAAGTTCTAGCCAGAGTAGTTAGTCAAGAAAAAGGGGAAAAAAGGCATCCGTATTGGAAAGAAAGAAGTAAAATTATCTCTGTTCACAGATGATATGATCTAATATATAAGAAATCCTAAAGATGCCACAAAACAATTTTTAGAATAAATGAATTCAGCCAAGTAGCAGGATACAAAGTCAGCACACAAAAATCAGTGGCATTTCTTTCTATACACTAACAACACACAATCCAAAAAAGAAATTTAGGAAGCATCTTCATTTTACATTATCATGAAAAAGAATAAAATTTTTAGGAATTAACCAAGGATATAAAAGACTATACAATCAAAACTAAAAAGCATTGCTGAAAAAAATTAAAGATTACATAAACACATCCTATGCTCATAGATTGGAAGACAATATTGCTAAGATGTCAGTGCTACCCAAATCAATCTACATATTCAATGGAATTTCT